TTCATTTATCGGAGATACTTATCTCGCAGCTGCTCGCACCATACGAAAGTATAAAAGTCCAACCTTGTTCGAAACAAGAAGATCACGGGGTAGGCGTCAATATAAAAATAGAAGAAGTAAAGATGGAGGAAAAAATTGAACTCAATTCAGAGTTTACTGCCCAGTCGGATCAGTTTAGCATGCAAAGAACAAATTTGCATGAAGAAAAAACTTATGAATTGCAAAATGACGATGATTGCGAGGAGTATGTTTCAATGACATCAATAGCCTCCCCATATTTTGCCAGTCCTATTGATTGGAAGCATGTAAATGACCTGTGTGATACAATTGGCCATTTGGCAGCATCAAGTGGATATTTCCAAAATGAGTGTATAAATCATATTATAAGAAGGCTGCTCCGATTTGTTGATGGCCGCAGTGTTTCCACAGAGAGAGGTGATTTTCAACCCTTAATGTTGATATTTTATACGGTTAGTATTGCTGTTTTGTATAGAATTCAGATATATAAGTCGGGCTGTGCGTGGTGTGGTTGCCCTTGGGGAATATGCTTTTCGAGAATGTATACCCTTTATTTACAAATTAAACATGGAAAATATTTCAGAGCTATTTTGGAATGAATTTGCGGTAATAAAAAGCGACGCTATCACAGTTTTTTTTCAGATAAAATTATTATTTTTTTTTTTGTAGCTTAGCGCTGTTTTCCTGCACGGTCCTGACGACATCTATCTATATGAATGGTTAGAGTTTTTGTGCGGAGGCGATAAGCTACAGCCGTTTTTAGTGTATTACGCGCGTAAGTTGTTTTTTTCTCAAAATTGAAGAACTTATTAAACTAATTTTTTATTTAATAGAATACTTTGAAAAGTTTCTTTCCACACGCTTCCTAAAGCGAAAAATTGCTACATTTAAAATATATTCAAAACCCGGTGTTCGTCGGTTAGAGTGGAATACATTAGCTGCAGCCATGTGCCACGGAGACGATCCAAACAAGGCGCTAAAACCCAAGCCTAAAATTAAAGAAGTATTCCCTGACCTAGTATCACCCAATCTTCAATTGAATCGTGCTGGCATTATTCGATTCAAATTTGCCGGATGTCGGCCAGTAATATTGAAATCCAAAGTAGCGGAGAAGAATCATAATTTAGGGCCTAATACACATGCTATTCAAAGTGGTCCCAATGATATCCTTATATCCCGCCGAAAATTGTTCAAACCATTAACTAACGAGCGTCGCATTGTACCACTCAGTAGTTATTATTATTTAAGAATATAAATGGGTACTGTCCACTAGGGTTATGACTCATTTTTTACAAAAAATTTTACCTATCACCACGTGATAGGCAATACTAAATTAATAATAAAAATGGAGTTTGCGGGTCATTTTGGCAAAAACATCTTCCGCACCAAATGCAATTTCTAAAAACACACAGATTAAAAATTTTTTCTTTTTTATTAAATTAATAATATGTGCTAGTTAAATTAAAATAACAATTATTTAAAGCATGTCAATTCCATTGTTTCCGCAGAAAATGCCATAAAAGTAGTTCAGTACATTTCTGCAAAAATAAACTTATTGATTTACTTGATTATTGTATGATATAAATTTAATATTTAAAGTGCGAGTAGTTTTGCAGAGAGGATAAATGTCCTGGACTAGTTTTATGGCACGTTCAGCGCAAATGTTACTGCGCTGCTGATTTGGCATTTTCGACTCCTCTATAACCCAATGCCTTAGGCACTCCGCACATTAAGCTCCTAATCATAGTAATGTAATCGTTTCGGCATACTAAAGTATAAAGCTTTTATGCCGAACACATGTATTTCAATGAAGCTCTGTACATTACGATTCAAAATCTTGTTTTCGCCTAATCATAAAAGCTTCATGAATCGAAGCGCCCAACATTGTCAGGCGCTAGGCTTTTTGAAATAGTATTTTGTTTTCATTTTACATACATACATATGTTCTCGTATTCAAGTTTTGAAAATACATTTGTCATTGAAAAAATAAAAAATAGTAAATAAACATGAACAATTTAGTGGCTAAATTTGTACTGATCGTGGAGAAGTATCCGTGCCTTTACAACAATACTCTGCAGGACTATTCAAGAAAGGATGTAACGGAGAAGGCTTGGGCAGCAATATCAGAACAAATAAATTGGTCAGGTATGTCGTGCCACGGTCATAATATAACATTATAAGGTCGCATAAATGTCCGCTATTTTAAGTTCTTATATGCTTCTCAATCTCATAAACCCTTTAAAAAGCAACAGTCTCAAAAAGAGGCCACCATACGAGCAATATGGGATAGGCGATGGCAGTTATGTTTAAAAAAAATTAACAATAAAGCATAAGATTAAAAAATAAAGAAACAATGCCCTTTATTTTGATTAGGGCAAGTTTAATGTTGATGTTGTTGAGGAGTTCAGCTAATGCTTCAAGGATCTTTGCTTAAATAAAGGTTTCTCTACCGACGTCATAGTTTTAGAGGAATTCGTTCAATGTCCTATTTGATAACACTAGAATCGGAGGATCATTCAATAGTGATGACTATATTGAGTCGGAAAGTCATAATGGACAGCAAAATTCCCTAATTTCAAAAGTAGCTTGGATCTACATATGACAGTAAAATAGGGTCCTAGTTAGCATTACATGTGCTAAGGGGCCAGATTAGTATTAAAACAGTGAAAATTATTTAGGATGTTTTGCATATGGTAATATGCGAGT